TGAGGCCAAGGTTAAACTTTTCAGCCGCAATTCCAAAAAATATGTTTGGCACAAAAACAACACTATGCATCACCAAAAGTACTTCTTTGAAGTAAGGTGGTGGCAGCATTATGCTTTTGACAGCTTTTCTTTAGCTGGAACTGGTCCTTTAGTCAACACGGAGGGAAGAGTTCCAAATATCAGTCAATTTTGGCACAAAACCTTCAAACCTCTGTTAAAACACTGAAGATGAAGAGGAATGACCCGAAGGACCCAAATGAACAAAATAATGGTTTCACCAGAAGATCAAAGTTTTGGGATGGCCAGCCAGAGCCCAGACCTGAATCCAATTGAAAATCTGTAGGGAGATCTAAAGAGCACAGTAGATGCAATCTGACAGATTTGGAGCGCTTTCACAAGGAAGAGTGGGCAAAGATTCCCAAGGCAAGATTGCTATGCTGATAAGCTCCTACCCCAAAAGACTGAGTACTCTTATAAAATCAAAAGGCGCTTCAACAGAGTATTAGTTTAAGGATGGGCACACTTAATGCAACCATGTTATTGTAAATTTTTTATTTTTTCTCTCTTAAAAGTTTTCAGTTTGTTTTTCAAGAATTGTAAAGCTTATTAAAAGTGAAAAAAAATTCTGAAATTATTTATCTTGGTTTGATTTTTTACATCTCAAACCCTGGCATTTTAGCGGGGTATGTAGATTTTTTATATCCACTGCATTAGATATTCATTTTTCATCTGCACATAGTATACCAATGATAATAAAAATGTAAATGATCTGCAAGCTCTAATAAGGGACACAGTGAAAAAATTAAACTAAAATTAAATATAAAGAAGAGAAAACTAATGACAACAGGTACAGCAACCAGTCTTGATGTTGGCAGTGATGTTGTGGATAGTTTTTGCCTTGTAGGATCAGCCATCAACAATAAAAGAACAAGAAATCAAGAACTATGGCATAAACTAACACTAACATATTCTAAGACTTGAAGGCCTTAGAAATGATATTCAGATGCTTGATGGCAGTTAATCATGATATGCTAAATTAACTTCAGAACCAGTCTTAAATCCTATATATCCCTGCCCTTTCTGTTTCTTTATTCTTTTCATTTTGAGCCCTTGGTTGAAAAAATAGATCCCATTATCTCTTACCATAATTGTCACTCATGCAATCCTCTCATATTTTTCCATGTTCCAAATAATCAAACCATGGAATTATTTTTAATCAATCAAAACCACCTTTATCAAAATCATAGTTTAGCAGTACTATCTACTATAATCAACCAATGGCTTCTGACCAACTTTCATTGTTTCTCTTAAGGAACTATTTGTTCTTCCAACATTGGTAAGATACTTTTGAACATTGCTCTCATTCTTCAACTTCTCATTCTTTTTTTCATTTCTGGTTTGTTTTCATTGGAGTTTTTCTTAAGTAACAGTAAGTTTTGATGTGGCTTCTTTTTTCTTCACTAAAGAAACTGGTTATATTATCTTTCTTTTTCTTTAACCACTGTTTTGGCCCTTTTCCCTATCCAAAAAAGTTATATGTTTTCTTAAGGCTTATTTATTTATTTGAGATACCCTCTTTCTTTGAGATAATCTTTCATCTCCTATTAATTTAATATGGGGATTCTTATTTAAAACAAAGTAATCTGCTATCTTGGCTCCATTTAAAATAGCGTTTAGAACAGGCTTTTTAACTTTCCATCTCCTGAGGCAGCTATGAGTAGACCTGATCTAGGCCCATGTTTCATTGTCTTCTAAAGGAATTCTCCTTAGCCCTGTCTGTCCATTTTTTCAACAGTTGATGAATTTTCTGACTTTAGATTATATGTAAGATGTTAATGTTTTCTCTAAAGCAGTGCTTCCCAAGCTTTTTTTCTTCATTACCCAAAACCACTTATTAGAAAGTTCCTTTTACTCAATGTAGGTAAAACAGTCAGTTTAAATGTCCCTGTTGTGATTGTGTAATGTGTTCATGTGTTGTTACCTCAAAAACAAACAAATAAACAAACCTAATATCCTAATATAGCTAGGTTTGGGAACCACTGTTCTAAAGAAATCAAAATTCATTTTAAATTGCTTATAAACTGATAATTTGAATACTGAAGAATCGGCTTGTTCCTTTTTAGATTTCCTCGCAGATTTCTGCTAACCTCTCATGGAATAAATTTCATAAATTCCTCTTTTTGAACTTTCTCTTAGCAGCTGTTTCAATACTGTTCAGGAAAGTATGAGGTAAAGTCTTTAAGGCGTGATTTTAATAGGATGTTCTGCTTCTAATTGAAACACTTCCCTCTCATATCTCTTCGTCTGGCTCCTTCAGCTTTTCTATTTTGTTGGAAGTAATCCGACTGGCTGTGGCTATGCTGGTTCTCCTTTGGATATCCTAAACACTTCCCTCTCTCAGTTCCCCACCTCTTTCTGTACACTTTCCAGCAATGTTGCTTGTTTGGTGAAAAAGCCTTATCACTTTTGCCCTCACTCCGAGAAAGGAAGCCTTTCTCTTCACCTTCTAGCTGCCTTGGTCATTCTCCAAGATAAGACTTCCATAATTGTTAGGTCTTATGTCAAGGACCTGTTTTGTGTCCTTGTCCTTTCCAATTATAGTGTCTCCAACAAGTTTTCTCTCACAAATTGTGCAATTAATCTGTTTTCCACTGAGCTCTTCTTTTGGGTCGCTAATGTCTAGTGTAACAGCTCAAAACCTCCCTGTGGTAGTCACCACATGTTGCATGCCCTCTTTTCTGGTTTTCCTTATTTTTCTTTCTCATTTCAAAAATTAAAACCAAATCCTCTTAGGCAGGGATTTCTCTGAAGGAGTTATTGGTTTTACAGCCATCACCAATCCGTTTTTTAACTTGGAAATAATTTTTTCCTCTTTATTTCTTTATATGGATCTGAGGTAACACAATTGGGTGGGGAAGAGAGAGAACAGTACAGTTGGTTTTTCATGAGTAAAGAAAGGAATTGAATGAGCTTTCATTAAATAATTTAAAATGAGCTTATGTTTTATGATTTTTGTAATGTGGTTAATACTTTTTGAAATGGGACTGTTAACCTGACACTCGGTACAAGGCCCTTGATTTGAAAAGTTGTGCATGACCTGCTTTAGGGTAGTATTTAGTACCACTATGACATTAAAATTATCAATTTCTTCTGATCTTTTCTCCCTTTTCCTTTCAGGGCATCGTACAGCAGTTCTTGGTGCTCCTGACCACCAATTCTGATGAAAGCCTCCAATTTCTTAGCTTTAGACTGGATTTCAATGAACATTATAAAGCCAGAGAACCGAGACTTCGGGTATCTTTGGGCACTAGAGGGCGGCGTAATTCACACATATGATTTTTTTTTCTGCAGCAAGCATAACCAGGATCACTCACCTGGATCACTCAAAGTGTAACTGTTGTTGGATGTAGCTGTGATGGTTGACAGTATGAAACCAAATGGCATGCAGTAGTGTTTGTCATTCTTGCAAACAACCTGTTTTCAGTCATGTGGTTGTGCAACACCAGTAGAGAAAGCAAAAAAGTTTCCTTTCTGTATTTAATAAGTGTTACAACTAAGTGGATTTAAATTGTTTCAGTTTTGTTAAGATATTGAAAAATCACTATATTTTGTTTGGACCGCCTGAGGAACTATCCACTGTAATTTTATATTTGTCTTTAGGACATCATTTCCACTTATAGTAAGCAGTGTTCCCAGGTTTCCATTTGAACTTGGAAACCAGTTTTATGAAAATTTGCTGGTGGTTAAAAATCCAAGGTGTTTTTTGTTTGTTTGGTTTTTTTTTAGTGGGGAAAATATGTCACATAAATTACTTACATCAATATTTTCAACATTTTCAAAGCAATGATTTATTTTTCCAGAAAATTTTTAACTTATACAGAAACATTAGTCACATAACATGCACAAATATCCTAAAATAAAGAATTCAGTGCTCTCAAATAATTAAACTTGTAAATATAAAATAGATGTGAATGAAGTATTTTGTGTTCAAATCGGATGTATGCAAAATTAATTTGGATATTGAAGACTACTTATTTCTCTTTCCTTGCCTATTTTTTCATTGTAAATATTTATATATTGCTGTCCAAATATTACAGGGAAACACTTTTGTAAAGAAGCCACTATATATCAAGTCATTCAATTATCCATTTGTTATATTCACAAGTAAAATCTTAGAAAATAAACACAATTATCTTTCAAACACTTTATCTGTTTCTTCTAACTGGAAAAGTGCCTGTTCTTAAAAAAAATAATTATATAATAAAATTAGTTTTGAATGTATAGGCCCTTCTTTTCTTTACCTTGTCTGATAGCTTTTCAGAATACATAATATGTCTCAAAAATAGGAATGCCTGATTCCAAAGTGAGTTCATATTGAGGCCTCTGTATGGGTTTCCTAGATGAACCGAATTTCAGTATCACAGGCTACAGAGCCAAGGGTATCTCATTATTTTTGATTCTCTGAAAAAAAGTATTTTTCCTGAATTATTTTTATTCATAGTATGGGTATTTTTAAATAGAAAAAAACGTTTGTATTCCCTGTATTTCCAATTCTTTTTCCAGCTCACATTTATCAGATGTGTTAATATCCATCTTTTGTTCAACAGGTGTTTCAGTTTGTCCAAAGTGTTCAATATGTGTGCAGTTTTACTTTGGTTTACATGTCACAAAAAGTTATTTGTCATTGCAGAGTGCATTACACTATTTAAGCCCACTTTTTCAAATTAGGAATTTGAAAAGTGCCAGATAAAGAATTTGAGCAAATACTATAATTAAATTAACTTTTGCTTTAATTGGGCAAACCCAAGAAGCTAGATTAGCAACTCCTATAACTCCAAAGTATAAAATCTACTTTTATTATTCCTAAGCATGATTGCAGTATGATTGATCAGCATACTATAGGGTTTCATCATGATTACTCTTGGTAAAAACATTTAGACTAAATGCTTCTGGGCATTGGTTAAATTGAATAAATAACTCCTTACTATTAATTTGCTTTTCTAGTCAGAGTATGAATCTGTACCAGAACCGTATTTGTGATGCTGAAAACATGTACACTCTGTACCATCAAACTGGGACATTTTTGATTCATTAAAGTTTTTGTTTGTATATAGAGCAATGAAATTATCTGATGAAGGATCATGAACCCAATTTAAACTGTTGTAATATTGATGCTTAGATAAGTGAGCGGTGTATGCTCTTTTGGGTTGTGTGGATTTTGGACTTCTCCTGGAGGATAAATAATAGTCTGGTTTTTTTCTGTGAGAAGTACTATGTTTCTTTTGATATGTTTCATAGTCCTGATTCCTGGGTGTATTATATTGTTCTAAATTATTATAGAAAGTGCTATTCAATTTGGAAGGTTTAGATTGTAGTTTGAAATTCTTAAGTGTACTATAATTATGTGATTCCTCTAATGATTCAGCATGGGGCATTAATTCTGTTTGTTTTGCTGGGCAGCTAGGGGAAGAAACAGACTGAATCTCTAAAGGGTTTGTAACATCTTCACCATGTGTTGAAAGAAAAATTCCTGGTGGTGGACAGTTATTGTTGTTGTGATTTTCTATGTCAATAGTGTTGGAGATGGATGTTTTTGGCTCCAGTGGTATCATAATGCTTGTTTCTGATTCCTCAATTTTTTCAGATTCTTTATGTTGGTCTGATTCCTTATTTTTGACAGATTCTTCCTTCTTGTCAGTGTTAGCATTTGCTATAATTGGTTTCCTAAAATGATAAAAGAATAATTTTAAATAAAACTTATTTATAAATAATTCTTATAATAATTTTGGAACAACCTCAGCTAAAAGACCATTATTGAATAGATTACAAATAATGAAACATTATCTTTCCCTATCTTTTTCAAGAAAGGGAGGTAATCTTTAATCAAGTTGCTGTTTTTCTTACTGATTCCCCCATTTCATTATCAGCCATAAGGAAGAAGGAATTATTGCATTTGACATGCAAGAATTATATGATGGATGGATAAACATTTAATAAGCCCATACAAAATACTTGTTTCCCGTGTCTCATGAGACTTTGTTTTATATATTTAACATCATGAAGTTTAGGTCAAGAGACAAGACTCAAGGCCCTAGAAGGGAGCATCATGGCTGAACTGAGATGTCCTCCTTCTACAGGATATTCAATCTCAATGTCTGATTCTTACATGGCTGAATTGCATTTAATCGACAGCCTCTACTATTGCATCAATTTGACCTAACATGTTATAACTATGTTAAAAATATATAAATGGTAAGAAGTTGTTAGGATGGAAGTTGTTATGATATAGAATGACAGTGATAGGAAGGGAGAAGAGAATGAAACAATAACTTACTGCTTCTTCATAAACAATGAATTGTATATGTGCACAAGGACTATCACTGCTAATATCAAACCAGAAACAGCTACACAGGCAACAATGATATGCTTTAGTAGTTGTTTAAGATCTGCAGCCTTTGCTCTTTTTTTATCCTGAATACCTAAAGGGATATAATAGTTTACACAGAATAGTAGATAATATTTTCCATAATGTAACATAACCCATCATACATACGTACGCTGTAATTCATGAAAACATTTTTTGTAAAAAACGTACTTGATACATTTAAGCATTAGAAGTTAGATCACCCATTTGATTAACTTCATGTAAAGCAATGGCCCCCAACCTCTGGGCTGTGGCCAAAAACTGGGTCATGGCCCATTTGGCAGGTGAGCATGTGCAGCTCCATTTGTATGAGCGATGGGTGCTCATGTGTGCAAAGTTCCATTTGTGTGAATGGTAGGTGCTGGCATGCGAAGCTCCATTTGCACAAATGGAGTTTCACGTGCTCACACATGCATCTGCCACTCACTCCTGCTGGTTCACCAAGCTGGAAAGGTTGGGGACCGCTGATGTAAAGCAATGTGCTATATGGTATCAGTTCTTTGCTTTGTTATTAAATACAGCTATGAAAAATAGTACAAGCCATCCTTGTTTACTGACTGCTCATTCAGCAATTGTTCAACAGTTACAACAGTGCTGAAAAAGATTTATAATCAGTTCTTCAGTTTGCAGCCTTATGTTTGTGATCTTTATAGCTGCCTTCCAACAAGCAAAGTCAATGCAGAAGTTGGAAGTCGTAAGACAAGTCATAATCATGTGACATTGTGAGTGATTTGCTTCACAACTGCAACTAGAAACAATGTCATAATTTGGGTGCATGGTCAAGTACTGTTTCACAAGTTGCTTAGAGAAGCTACCAGTCCCAATTGTGGCCAATGATTGAGGAATGAAGCTTATTTTAAGATTCCCCCACACACAAACTGTTTCTTTTCTAAATCAGTCACTGCAGTATTCACTCAGATGTTTCCGCTTCCAAGAATAGTTTAAAAGCTTGGATCCTGAATAGTAGCATTAAAGTAGCGTATAATTGAAAAGTCAACTTTACTAGTTATCTCCACAGCAATAACAGCTTCATTATTAAGTTAAATCAATAGTTCCTCACAAAATACCATAATTACTTCTGTAGCCTTACCTGAGAAATGCTGTAAAGAGAGGCTTCTTTTACAATCTAATGCCAAAAAACATGTCATTTGGAAAGACTTAATGCTGTCTTTTATTGGACTGGTTTTACTGAACTTTTCTAAGATTAATTCTTTAGCTGCAAAGTCTTTTACAGTTTGAAAAGAATAGGGGAAGGGAAGAGAATCAGAATTCTGATGCTCATCTCAGTTGTTATGTGAGCATTAGGAAGCTCAGAAGCTTATGCCGAAGTTTGAGCCAAAGCTTAAGCCAGCATGCATAATGAATTGTAATATAATCACTGCAGTGCCAATAAGGTTGAACAATTGTGGCATTCTGAGAAAGAGTTCAGAAGGGCCTCCTATAAACAACTGTCCATTTTACCATGCACAATTTATTACAATAAATTTACCATGCACAATTTGCCATTTAACACATTTACCATGCACAATTTATTATAAGAACTCCTACATTTCGTTTGGCAGTACACAAATATTTGGATATTAACAACAAATTGTACATAAACAAGGATCAAGAGATTATTCAATTCTGGATCCTTACAAATTCTACATTTTTAAGCTGACACCCTTTATGCTTAAATTTACACTTGATTTCTATTGAAATGGGAAAAAGCTTTAAATATCTTCCATTGGTTATAGTCCTGATTTTCGCATTTCATGTTGCAAGTATCTAAAAAATTTAAATTCCTTGTTAACTCACTTCTCAGGATTGTACTTCGTCCTTCAAATACAATTAGCAAATGGAGAAGGTTTGAGTCTCCGACGTTATACAGAATATAAACAGAGCTTGCATGATTTTTGTATTCAGTTAATATAAAATATCACACTTATTGCTTGAAAGCATGCAGGTAACCAGCAGTGATCATTTGATAATCTAAATCTGTTGTTTTCAGCTTTCTAAAAATGAGTTAGAATAATATATGACTGATGTTAAGAGCAGTTTCACTGGCAACACTATAGGTGCGTCCCTTATTGCTTTTCACTATCCATCCAAACTACCTTATAGTAAACTTATAGTATAAGTTTTCTCCAGCTCAAGATGGAGGGAAAACATTTTAAATTTAAGAAGCTTTTTGCAATTAATTTGTGAGTTTCACTTTAGCAATGTCCCTGGGTGATGCAAAGCTGCTGGCTTACATGTAGTTTACAATATCTCATCACTTTGCCCTTTCATCAGTATCTCTCCCCTTTATCCCCAAACAGATTTCCTCCCATTCTTGATCTATATTCCCCTTCTTCCTCCTAAAGTGAAGATGCAGTCACTATGCAGAAAAAAAGCTTTCTCTCCAACCCCAAAAATCCATGTTAACTTTTCTCTTCTGGATAGAGGTTAAAAATGGCAATTCTCCCCCAGTAATCACTTGTATTAAGTATTTAGGAAAAGGTAGTTAAGGAGATACCCTGCTATTCTTAAAGCTGTGTGCTTGATTCCCCATATTCCAAACTTGGCGGCTATAATGCCAAGGGATGCAGGCTTCATCTAGAATTTGGATACAGTACTCCATGAGTATTTGGCTTCAGATCCAAGCAGCAGAAGCCCAGAGAAACCAGCACACACAAAGCTGGGCATATATTCACTAAATCTGGCATGCAGTAGCAATACCCCAAAGCTTGCCAGCCCTTAAGCCTTTGAATGGTACTGCCACATTGCTCTGGCATCCAAAAACCAGCATTTACACTGGGGGTTGTAGCTTTTATCTCATGACAAAAATACTAATGCTATTAAAAATATGTTTTCACTAGAGGCTGACTATATCGATGAAATATTTCTGTTAGGGCTAAGCCATTTTTGCCATTTATTTTAGGTTTCACTGGGCTGTGAACAAAATTCCTTGTCTTATTATACATTAGTGTCTCCATTGGTTTATTTATCTGCTTCTTTTAATTACCACATCAAGTGCTGCTAATGGATAATGATCTGAAAAATAAAAATCTTCATATAATATGTTTTTCAACAATGAATTTTGAAACTACATCTCATCATTGGTTCACAAAATTAAAAAGTAAAGAAAGTACCTTTATGTTGTTATCTGCATATTGTTATTGGGAGCTTTATATGTCATGCTTTATTAGAGGTTTAAACTTTGGTTTAAGGAATCCAACAAAAACAACAGCAACAAACCCTGCCTTGTTAATTTTGTAATTGAGGTCTAGACAAACAAATTGCCACAGCCATAGGAAAAAATGTTTGTTTCTTTTCAGCTGAACACACACAAAATAGGTTTTAGTAGAACAAACCTAACAGAAAACCATAAATCAAGTGTTTAAAAATAGAATGGAGATAGCTGCAGTTTGCTATGTCAACAAACACAGGACAACAGAGCTGAAATTATAGTCCTGATGTATTAGGTAATACTCTTTTTTTCACCAAACAACAGAACCCAGAAGATGCACAGGGAACATCATTTGTTTTAACTTGGTGTAAGTTTACCTTACCTAAAAGCTTATTTTATTTACCTTCATACTTCTCAAAAAATTCAAATCTTCTAGCATCATTCACATCTTCATTTGTCACTTCAGTTCTTACACCTAAAAACCAAAAAAATAGATTTAATAGTTTTTTGTGCTGTTGGTTTTTAAGTGGAAAATAAAAATATTTTATTTCGTTTCAAAGAGCCTTTTAAAACAATTATGCTAATTGGGGTTTGTTGAGTGTTCTTTATTACTTATATAACCCTTGATATATAACATGTTTTATATATGTTATATAGGATTTCTTAACATCTATCATTTCGCTTCTTAAAAAAATGTCATGTTTATGTTCCGAGTGGGCAAAGGGATTAAGAAGAGATAAAAATAGAGTCAAAGAGATGGGATTATTTTATCTTTGTAGTAAGCAATCTTTTCAATTCAGGGAAACATCAACTTGCTTGCATACTCAAACAGTTCTGTCCATGAATATTCATTATACAGATAGTCCTTGACCTAGGACCACAACTGAGCTCAAAATTTGTGTTGCTAAGTGAGACATTTGTTAAATGAGTTTTGCCCAATTTTATGACTTTTCTTGCCACAATTATTAAGTGAATTACTGCAGTTGCTAACTTAGTAACATGGTTGTTAAGTGAATCTGGCTTCCCCATTGACTTTGCTTGTCTGAAGGTTATAAAAGGTGAGATCACATGACCCTGGGACATTCTAACCAATATAAATATGAGTCAGTTGTCATAGAGATGCTGCAATGGTCTTAAGTGTGAAAAACGGTAATAAATCACTTATTTCAGTGCTTACTAACTTCAGTCACTAAATGAACTATTGTAAGTTGAGGACTACCTGCCCAGTAGTCTTATAAGTAGGATAATAAAGCATGCATCCTAGATTTCCTAATCTGTTTTAACCAATGAATTCAACTTTTGATGTAGCAGGCACAGAGAGAACTAATTTTGTCCTCATCAGAACACATTAATTGCAAGTAGAGAATCTTTCATAATATAATTCCAGTTTCAGTTACATTGGACTGAAGCCTTTTAATATTAACAAGTAAGACATAGAATCCTACACAGAAAGGATCTTCGTATCTTGAAATATCATAGCTTGTCAGCCAAATAATTGCCCAAAACAATGTTTTTCTACTTGAAGTATGCTAGAAAGATATGTGCCAAATTGGTTTTAAGTAGTTTTTAATTATATTCCTATTGTTTTAAACATTTATCTTACACTTTAAACTTCCATACTTCATCAGTATAGCAATTGTAGATTCTAGAGGCTTTGCTCTATCGCATACTAGCTTTTATTTTTCATTAAAAGAAACATTTAAAAAATAGAAAGATAAGGAACCTGGTGGCCTCAAGGATTAGGGTTATGGAACTGCAATATTAGACTGATCTGACAGCTAAGAAGGCATTTGATTGTACAGCTAGGTCTCAATTAGTACAGATAATGAATTCCACAAAATGATTGCTTTATTTGAATTTGCATTATTCAAAGTGATATTTCTATGGAAAATGTGGTCATTGGTTCCAGCTATATGGAAATAAGCAATGAAAAATTGTAAACATAAATATGTATATGTATATTGATGCAATATTGCAGTAAAAGATAAAATTAATATGCTTATGATTAAAAGTTATGGTTAACAAAGTTGTAGTTATAGAAAGCAAAATAAAAACAAATAAAATTCTAAATATCATTCCTAAATGTAAGCTTATACTGACAAAATAGAAACATAGAAAACTAACAGCAGAAAAAGACCTGGTGGTCCATCAAATCTGCCTTTTCAGATATTTTTTTACTTTTTTACTTTTTGTCAAATGATGGACATGTATTTATCCCAAGCATATTTAAACTCAGTTGACTTATGATTGATTTACTACAGAGGTGGTATTCAGTAGATTCTGAACAATTCTGGAGAACCGGTAGTGGAAATTTTGAGTAGTTCGGAGAACCGGCAAACACCACCTCTGACTGCCCCCGCCCTATCTATTCTCTGCCTCTCGAGTCCCAGCTGATTGGCTGAGTCTTCTTTTGCTGTCCTGCACAGGAGAACAGAGCTGGAAAGCAGGTTAGTGGGGTGGGGAGGGAATGGGATTTTGCAGTAACCTACCCCCAGGAGTGGGGAGGGAATAGAGATTTTACACTATCCTTCCCCTACCAAGCCACACCAGGCCCACCAAGCCATGCCCACAGAACCGGTAGTAAATTTTTTTGAATCCCTCCACTGATGCACTATCTCTGCTGGAAGTTGGTTCCAAGTTTTCACTACTCTTTTTGTGAAGTAATACTTTCTAACACTATATTTGAACTTTCCATCTGTCAGTTTGAGGCTATGTCCCTGTGTTCTTGATTTTTGCTTAATATTGAAAATATTTTTTTAATCTTCAGAATATTAAGCAAAAATCAAGAACATGAGGACATAACCTCAAAGTGACAGGAGGGAAGTTCAAATGTAATGTTAGAAAGCATTGAAAAACTGTCTTCTAAAACCTTATTCACACCCTTAATATAGTTGAAGGTTTCAGTCATGTCACCCCTTTCCCTTCTGTCCTCCAGGCTGTTCAGTTCCTCTGATCTATCTTCATATGTTTTGTCCCTCAGACCTTGCACCGTTTTTGTTGCCCATCTCCAAATTCCCTCAGTCTTATTAGTACCTTTAAGTGGTTTCTCCAGAACTCTAGTGATGCATCCCAGAAGTTTATTTGCCTTCACAGCTGCCTGGCCACACTGTTACCTCATTTTGCAGTCATCTGCTATGAGCACACCTAAATCCTTTTCTTCTGTTGTCTTGTCCAACACTGAACCCCTGTCAGAGGATTCTTTTTCCCAAAGTGCATCCTGAACAGGGATTTCCACATTTTTAAATCTATTTTCCAGCAATGTGAAATCATTTTCCATGTTATGTATACCCCAGGAACGTCAATTCTATTACACACTTTTGTGCCATCAGCAAAAAGACAAATCTTACCTAGCAATTCTCCTGTTATATCACTTACAAGCACATCGAACAGAACAGGGCCTAGGACTGAGCCTGTGATACATTGCTTGCAGCACTGGGTTCCTACGTGTTCCACTACTGGTTCGGTGATCACACGTGTGTATACGCATACCTAACGCACGTGTGCAGCTTTCCCCACACCAGCTGAGGCCTGCAGCACCAATCAGCTGAGAGGATAAAGAAGAGAAAAGCGCAGGGGCGGGTGCCCCCCCCCGATCCTGTGCTTTCTCTTTTTTATCCTCTCAGCTGATTCTGAAGGATTTTTTTTTCCTCCTATCAGCTGATCATGGGAAGCTTTTTTTTTTTTTCCGAACAACCGGTTCACTTGAACCGGGCTGAATCGGTAGCATGCCACCAGGCTTGTTAATGCTCACAAGGCTAGAAAAGGTTACAAAACTATTTCCAAAGAGTTTTGATTCTACCAGTTCACTGCCAGGCAGACTATGTACAAATGGAGATTTTCAATACCAGTTCCCTCCCCAGGTCGGTTGTCCAATCAAGATCATACCAAGAGTGAGGCAGACAAAGTGCCAGGAGGTCTCAAAATATTCCAGGATAATATTCTAAGGACCTAAAGGCCCGTCTTGCATTGCTGAATGTTAATATTCCTGAGATCATCGTCAAGAGAACAGTGAACAACAATGAAGTACATGATAGGGGTGCAAGAAAACCCACTACATTCCAAAAAGAAATTGCACCTACGGTTTGTGAAAGATCACTTGGATAAGCCAGAAGACTATTGGGAGAATGTTCTGTGGACAGATGAGGACAAAATAGAACTTTCTGGCTTTAGTGAAAAGTGTTATGTTTGGTGAAAGGCAAACACTACATTCCAGCATAACAAACTTACCCATCTGTGAAACATGGCGATGATGGCAGTGTCATGGTTTGGCCTTGCTTTGTTGTATTTGTACTACGATGGCTTGTTGATTATGAATTATGAATTATACCAGCAAATACTACAGGAAAATATCAGAGTATCTATCCATGAACAAAAAGCTCAAGTCAGTGAGTGCATAATGTAGAAAACAATGATCCAAAGCATATGAGTTTGTATCACCAAAGAATTGTTAAAGCAGAAGAAAGTTAACATTTTGTAATGGCCAAGTCAAAGCCCTGACCTTAATCCTAGAGAAATGTGAAAGGACCTGAAGCAGGCAGTGTATATGAGGAAGCTCCCCAAAATCCAAATTGTTCTATTAGGATGAATGGGCTGAAATTCCTCCAAGTCCATGTGCAGGACCACTCAAGTTATTGTAAACATTTAATTCCAGTTATTGCTACGAAGAGGGCCACGTCAGTTGTTGAAAGCAAAGATTATATTTTTGCCACCCACAAATATACAGTATAGCTTTGGATAATTGTCCTCAATAAATCCGTGAAGAAGTATAATATTTTACTCATTTGTTTAATTGGGTTCTAATCTATTTTATGACTGTGTACAGAACAGATCATGTTTTAGATCATATTTTTGCAAGTTCACAAATTTAAGCACCACTGTTTGGCATGACAAAAATTTGGTGCAACCTTAACTTTTCCTTTTATTTTCCATGTGTGCTTTATAATAATGCATACTGTACATTCAGGCACTCCAACATCTCATTCTATTTTAATGTTGCTATGACATTCATGTTGCTCAATTACATCAAATTTTTGCTCTAATGTAATAACGATCTTTTTTGAGCTTGTAGAGTTTTCCTCTGAAGAGATCATTTTTTCCCATTTTACAGACAAAGATTGGTGATGTCTAAAACCCCAATGGCAACTGCACACACACTTGCCTCACATAAACTGAATGTTGGTTTGCATTAAACACAATGTATCAATTTACAATTTTACACTAAATTTAATATCACATTATTTCAACTGGTATTAATTGTGACCTAGCAGTACATCATTCCACCTTACTTCCCAGTTGCTGCTTTTTTATATTTCTGATTTAAAGTAGGGTATTTCTGACCAATAATCTATCCCAATCCATCTTCAAGGGCATATTCTAATAAATAAATCTCTTATTTATAACCTAAATAAGCTGTTCCATTTCAGGTACTTCATTTATGGAATCTTATCATTAATTTCAAATGTGGATTTGGGTAGAAAACCCTTGCTCTTAATGACTAATTTGATTCAATCATTTTTAATAGGAACAGAGGAAGTTAAAAATACCAATTTGGGCAGATGTTACCTCAGACAAAATGGCATAGAACATTAGATAATGATTTTACTTTGAGGAAGAGTTGATTTAAGTGGGAAAATCAATGATGTTTCACTGGAGGCAGGTAGAATAAGACCTTCTTCTGAGGAAGATTCCTTCGTTATGTTTTCCTTTTCACTCGATGGTCTCTCTTTAATTCAAGGGGACAAAACATTGACAGTAGAAGATTCTATGAACGTTGTCCAAAAAAAGAATTCTAAATAATACTATAGTTATTAGTGTGAAATGTAGAAGTATTTCTAAACAATATCTTTACAAAATAATGCTAATTTGCAATTTTGTAAAATCTAATTACATATATCAAGGAAAAGACCCAAAGAGATCTTTTTTCATTGGATTGAACAGAACAAGGGAAATTAGAATCTGCATGTTTGTACAGCTTTTGCAAACAAAAATGGATTTTTCTAGGCAAGTTAAGTACAGAAATTTTGCTTTTCTTTTTTTGTGTGTAACATCCAGATATTACTCCATGACAAAAGGTTTAGAGGATGTGTTCTTCAGCTCTCATGTTTGGTTCTTTATAGTGCTTCTGCCAACTATTTGGTTGTGGAGTTCCTACAGTTAAATTATTTGAAACATAGAACAAAAGCAATGTCTTAACCTGGGACTACAAACATATAATTGTAGACATTTGGGATAGGTGTTTCACAGCATGGCCATGCTACTTTGAAGGCTTTCCTAGGTTTCTTGCATGTGCCCATAAAGATAACCCTTGGCAATGATGGCCTCAGGTTCTCACTACTTTTATTAAATGATAAGAGCAGTGTTGTGGCATTGCATTGCAAACCCTGTCCCTTTGGATCATGCATGCAAAAGGGGGATCTTGAGATACGTCAGATAAAAATGTAAATTGATTATGAACTAACAAAGTCCATATGAGTACAGCAGATGTAATATATTCAGCTGTGTACAGTATATTTCAAAACTTTCCACAATTCCCACTGAAATGATAGTTGCACACAGAGGCAAAATCATCCTGGTGGCCAAAAGATGGCAGCAGCCCTGCCCCTTTTCATGTGTGTTCCATGCGTAACAAATTATGTTCAATTATCAATGTGACCATGGCCATCTTTCATTTTTTTACATCCCTTGCACTTCTTTAGCTTTGGCAACTCCAGCCCCAACCCTAATCATTTTATGGGAATAACATGACAACATTTCACTACTGAGCATTATTAGAAATCTGTTCAGCAGCACTGTAAAATGAGTTTACCTGGACCTTGAGATTCTTTTGATGGAATCTGTTCCATAAGCCTCTGTGCCTTGCTTTCAACAGCTGGTGGAGAATTCTGAACTTCAGCATTAACAAGAGATGAAATTGTGATTCATTTAAGCACCCACTCTGGAAAGCTACTAAGATTGATTAATTGACTGACTGACTGACCAATTGATTGATTGATTTAGGTGCCTTCAAGTCAGTGTTGATTTACTCCTGGTGATTGCCTGGACAAGTCCCTACAGTTTTCTTTGCAAGGTTTTTCGGAATTGGCTTGCAATTGCCTTCTTCTTCCTAGAGCTGAGAAACTATGACTGGCGCAAGGTTACTCAGCTGGCATGATGCTAAAGGTTGGAACTAGAAGTCATGGTTTCATGGTTTCTAGCCTGATGCTTTAATTACTATACCAAACTGGCTGTCTCATTTTGTTCTAGCATTGCCCTTGAAAGAAATAAGCAATATTTAATAATCCTCTCATCAGTAAATAGTGGATAGTGCTCAGCTTTATTTTCTAAGAGATATTATAAAAATATTTTGTAAGGGTAACCGAATAACCAAGCTCAGAGAATACCAGGAACTCCATGTGAAATACATGATTTGCAGTTAAGATCACTTGGAAGGGAGAAATTGGCCTGGAAACCCTGAAACAGTGACTTTATTCTAAATTGTGTAGGCCAGGGCTGTCAAACTCATGGCCTGCGGGCCGGATGCGTCATGCACTGGCCATGCCCATGCCCAGTTTAGCGAAGGGGAAAAAAGTCCCGATACATTAAGTCATGCCGCCGTGACGACCTGAGTTTGACACCCCTATGTAGGCTGCTTGTCTTAAAGTCAGGCTCAAGAGAGTAGTTCTGGAATGTGATTCAGAGTTCTCCTTTCCATTATCCAACATGGAAAAACACAGATGCCTAATAATGTTTATTTTGCTTTTCATCAGAATGATGTAAAGTGTTTTGAATAGCTAGTCAATCACAAGGGCATGAATTGTTCACATTTCATAGACATTGGTGAAGTAGATCTTGAATCACTCGTCTTTAAAATGGGTTATTAAAGTGCCTGCAGTGCTTTGTTCTTTGTTGGAATTGGATTAAAATATATGGAAAATTTATAAGTGCGTGAAGTACATTTATTAGAAATCAGTGCTGGCTGTTTCCAGTATACTTTATTTTGCTCTAATCAACTTTTTACTTTGAACACTTTTCCATTTCTCAATGCTCTCAATAAATTTTAATGGGCATTGCTCATTTATTTTAATCAATTTATATGACTACTGATTTTGCAATAGTGACACTTAACTTGGGATTACAATATTTCACAATGCAAAATAAACCACAATTATATCTACATATCTATATATCTATATCTATCTATATGATGGCAACATCATGTGATTAACATCTGCTCGCAACCACCCCAAATCTCAGATAGCACTGTCTAATCTATATTTTTACCATATAAGATACCTATTACTTGACAAAGTAGGATGGTGGAAAATACTGCTTGTAAGGGCAAAAGACAAGAAGAAAGAACAAAATAATATACAGCTATTAAATCTGGTTACTGAACAATTATAACTCTAGGACAGAAACATTAATTAGGAAAGGGGTCTAAATGCAAACTAACTGAATACAATTGAAAGCTTAGGAAGTATTTACTGTTATGGAAATGAGAAAGAATGGGAAATGAAAAAGGGAAGTTGGATAAGCAAACTAAGTATAGGGGAATGAAGTTATGAAATTGAAAACGAAAAAAACCAATCACCTTTTGTTCACAAAAGACCCTGTTGTCAGTGTCACTACACAAAATCACTCTGGATAATAATGGGGAGGAAGGAAAATACAAGCAAGAGTAAATCGTTTATCTCTTTTTCTTCCCATGACCTTTACACCTATCCGAAAAGCTACAAATGGGGTGATATATGTGGTCTGACTGCAAAGGTAACTCTGATTTGTTCACTGATTTCTATAACCCCCCACCTTTCTTCCACACCTCATCAAGGCATTTTACACAAACAAGCCCTGCAGTTGCTGTGGTGATGCCTTAAGCCTTGCAGCTTGGCAGAGCTCCTAAACTGTGTATCAGAGGCAGATTTTGAAAAGAATTCTGAAATGAACAGAGTGAGTTATAGACGTAATGCCCAACCTCAAATAAAAATAAAATCCAAGTTGAAGTGATCACCTCCATCACTTCAATGGAGGCAGAGAACAGCTGTATTAAGCAGACAATAGCTCTAACTAGTTAAACCAGGCTTTAAGTAACAACTACAAACCATGGCACAGTGAACAGGAGAGAAAACAGTGCAATTACGTTAGCTCAGTATCCAAGTGTTTACTTGCTTGCTTAAACTAACGTGACAAGCTAAGAAAGTACTGTTAAATATTAATTGAATTTCCATACTCATTTAGAAATATACAGGTAATAACCTTAGCATCTTCCCACCATCAAAACAAATATTGCTTTGTAGACCTTTCCTTCATCATTTGGACAGTCCTTGATATCTAATATGTTACATATAGTAAGAAAACATACAATTATCTATAATATTAGGTTGTGCAATTAGATTTACCTATATATTTCTTTAATTCCTGAAGAATATTTTTCATTACTGATGATTGCATTTCCTCACTAGATAACAAAGGCTTCTGGTCTTCGATTTTCAAAACATCAAAAGTTAAATTAACATTCATTTTTACTCGATTAAGCTCAGTAAGAATGACAATATTAGTTAAATAAACATCAACTGCCATCAAATGTCCTATAATAATAAATAATTTTAAAATATTACTTGCTATACAGAAGTACACCAGGCACTATTCTTAAACATTCTAAAAATATTCTACAAATATTTTAACCTTAAAATGTATCTTAATATATAAGAATTTAGCAGTACAAACCTAAGCAGGTTTACTCAAAAAGTATGCATAGCAGAAACAAGTACAAATCTGACAGTTTGACATAACAGGATGTGCTATATCTAAATTAAGAAGCCTATAAAATAGGGGACAGAAAAGAGAGGACACAGTGTAATTAGCCAGGACACTTCAAAGTTCAGATTGTAAAATAAGAATTATTTTACACATAAGTGTGTCAGCAAGATACTACCTGGATAAGACATTTGGAATGTAAGGACAAAGCTAGGAATAGATTTAGTAAGCTTACTTTGTGAAGAAAGCTATGGAGAAGGTAAAAGTAAAAAAGAAAAAGAAATCAATATCCTGAATACCAAAGCAGAAAAATATATTCTCAGAATACTAAAAAGGAACAGATCCAAGTGGCTTTCAGAAAAAGCTATCATGATAACCAGGGAAAGGCAGAAGATGAAAGCCCTGGGCAATGAAAATGGCATACAATAATTAAAAACACCGTCTTTCAATGTCAAGCAAGAAAGGACAAACCAAATACATTTCACTCAATGTCAGCAAATAGAGAAATTTATCACAGAAAAGGAAAACAAGAGTTCTTGTTAAGAACTGAAAAATCAGAAGAAAATTTATAGCAGAGTTAGGAACACTCAAGAGAAATAATGAAAGAAAGCTGAGGCAAAGAAGATTAAAGAAAGATGGAAAGACTACATTAAAACCCTTTACAAATGGGATTATAAACTGACAAACATTTGTAAGCAGAGAATATATTCAGGAACTGATTCTGCTCAAAAATTAGGGAAAAACAAGAATTAGACATCTATTAAATATGAAAATATTAGGCCCACGGAACACTTTTAAAGCTGTAAGAGAACTGAATAATTAAATGGAATATAGCCTAGGCATTTGCAAAATTGGTGGATATATCTATAAAAAAGGGGGACAATACAATGCCAGTTTATTTATTCCACATACAGGTAAAGCTTTGTTTTAGATCTTGCAAAGAGCATGGCCATTAACTGAAGAATGAAATGAAAGAGGCTTCAAAAATGGCAGAGGGACATCAGAAGAATACTTTCCTTCTTGAGGACAGAAGTAATACCACCTGCTCTGTGAGCATTAGCGGTATGAATCAGAGGTGGTATTCAGCAGGTTCTGATCAGTTCTGGAGAACCGGTAGCAGAAATTTTGAATAGTTCAGAGAACCGGCAAGTACCACATCTGACTGGAGATTTTACAGTATCCTTCCCTCTCCAGATTGTGTAATCTCTTTTTCAAGTCCCTCCTTAATGACTCTTTTCTTCCTTCCCTCTTAGTAGTCTTTCCGATCTTCCCCAATGTCAGTTTTAAATTCCTTTATTTAGGGAAGATGAAATTACTGAGGTTGTGTTTGGCTCCATTGTGAGATACCACAGGGTTCAGATAGTTCCTCCATGTTTTTCAGCAGCTACATGAAACTGTTGGAGAAGGTTGTTTATTGATTTTGAGGTAACATTGACATGCTAATGGTCTTCAACTATATCCTAGCAAAATAGAGGTTTGCTCTTAATCAATCTGGTTTAATTCTAGTTGTGAGGTTAGCTCTGGCAGGGGGATTCAGAATAGAAAAGGGAGTGAGAAAAGTATGCATTTCAGGTTAATTTATATAATAAATATAAGAATAACAGAATTGGAAGAGATATCATCTGAAAAAAAAATTGTAGATAGGAAAAAATTGCTATACTATATAGTATATAGATGATACAACCTTGTCAGCTGACAACCTTGTCAGCTTAAAATAGAAAAGCTCATTATGAAAATTTAAAAAAAGTTAAATCCATATTAAGACAAAATAACTACTGAAGATAATTTCAAATAATAATATCAAAGTATACTTCCTGAACTTACATTTGAGAATAAAGAAATAAAGGTGATATATAGTTTTGTTTTCTTACCCAAGAATGGACAGTATGATGGAGAAATAATGAGATCATTAGTCCTGCAGAAGGATGTCATGACAAACTCATTCAAGATCATGGAGATAAGGATATTTCAATGACAATACAATCAGAATAGTTAAAGCAATGATCTTGGTAATGTATGGCCTTTAATGTTGGTGACTAAGAAAGAACAAGAGAAAGATGGATGCCTTTGACTTACGGATTTGGAGACAATTACTAAGAGTATCATGGATTGCAAGGACAACCAGTCAATCTTTGACTAAATAAAGGCTGATTGCTCCCTTGAGGTAATGAACAGCAAACAGAAACTCATACTTTGGGCGTATGATATGACCAGATGATTGGCTAGAAAAAAAATGTTTGGCAAAATGAAAGGAAATACAAGAAAGAGAAGACAATGGAGAAAGTTAGTGTTAGGGTCAGAATTAAAGAGATTACTGGACATCTTTTCAAACAGAAACTTGTCACTGCTAAAAACAGATTAAATGTTGATCATTTGTCCACAGAGCCTAGCAAGAGATGAACCAAACTCAATGGCACCAATCTAACTAACTAGTCAAAATAAGAAAATCAGAAATTGTCTTTAGTCCTGAAATTCAATGTATTGCATAATATGAACCTTCAAGCCCCTTAATCTGAATTGCTTGTCAAAATATAACTTATGGCTGATATATATTTTAATGAAATCCTAGTTTAAAATCTTTGGAAAACCATTTGATTTTACTATAGAATAAACTCAGGTCTAAGAATACATTTTTATACAAAGGAAAGCAAAAGACGTACCAGTCTCTTTGTTTTGTTCGTTTAATATATATTCCAGTTCTTTTACAGAGATTTTTGACTGTTCATTGATTGTGCTTTGTGAATGGTCTCTGTGTGCATTTTGAGCTGTAAATTGCAAAAATGAAAACTGTCTAATTCTGATTACACAAAATATCCAAAAATTTACTCAATAGAATCCATATTTACCTCTCAGTGATTGTAGAATTTGATTTAATACCATCATCTGATAAGTAAAAGGTTCAGGGACATCTAAAATAAAATATAAATATAAACTATTAAGACTCACTCTTATAAGGATTTTTTTTTAAAAGAATACTTTTGCAAATTGTAAAAATACTATAATTGTATGAAATGTATAAAGGTGACACTGATTAATAATGAAGAAAGGCATTTTGAGAGTCCTGTAAAAGGGAATAATTCTGCAAAGGAATATAAACAGTATAGTATACAAACAGAAAAGATTTATAAGCACCCAGATAAATTGTTTCCTTACTAGAACTTATAGGTAACACAATAATTTGATCTGATAAAAGGTAGTGTAAATTGAGCTACGCAGATGACTAACTGCTTGCTGAAATGCACACTACATAATAAAACACAAGCTAATCCATTAATTGTATATGGCTTTTATGGGAAAAATAATATAAGAAAATATGTGCATGTGTATGACAATTTTAATCATGACAACTTTAAAAAAATGTGGACTTCAACTCCCAAAATTCCCAAGTCAGCAAGTTGTCAATTTTGAGAAGCACTGGTCTGGCCTATCTTTTTTCTGTTATAACAAGTAATAAAATCATATGTACGATATATGGGATAGAGAAAGAGGACCAAAGTAGGAACATGTGGTATGGGCAAGAACCGTAGATAGTGTCTGTAATTGCCTTCAATTAAGCACAATTTACATGTTAATGGATTAAACTTTTCAATCTGCCATGCCTTTTTAGATTTTGACTATTTGTTTATTATTTATATCCATGACACAAATAGTCTAACACTTGAAAAGTTTGCCAAGCCTGCCACAGAAATATCCAAGTCAAAATCAGCCATCAGATGGCAAATGCCCATCTTTTAAAAAATAATAATTATAAGAGTGATTGAACTATATTGAGGTAGAGAAATGAGTATAACACTCATACTTGTTCAAATGTTTTTCTAATCTTTGTGACTTGCTATCTTTAGCAAACAGACTTGAATATTTTTCTGAAATGTTTCCAAATACATGTACATGTAGGACAAGTAGAGTTACTGTAACCTTCATCCTACACACATATACCACCAATAAACTCTTTGTACTAAATATCTTGTTAATGTAGTTCAAGGCACTGCACTTGCATGAAAAATGTAGAGAGTAGCAGAAAAAAAAAAGATAGTAATTAATGAACTGCATTACATTTTCTTCAGAAAAAAATGATTTTATATTTATTTCATACACTTGGCATCTACTCATACAAAGCAAATTTATTCAAACGGATGAACATGCAGTAAGTAATGATGTCTTGGACACAAAATTTGCAAGTTATATCTGCCATAGAATAATCTCATAATTATATAAAATCATTTACAAGTGGACAATCATCACATTCATGATCTCAACAGTTTTACAATACGGTACAATCAGCTTTTACAATAGCTGATAAGATCAGGTGTTATTCTTAAAGCAGGACAGAAAATTAACTGCACAGGTATAGGATAGGTAGTAACTGTGCATTTAGGGTCTAATAAATTTTCGTACTTAATCATTTTAGTTATATCCAAATTATTAGGGTGTACTATCGCTTCCATTGGAGATAGCCAAATCGGTATTTTTAGATAAAGTTTTTTACGTACTTTTTTCCAATTGGTTAATAGAGAGTCCCTGATAAGATGCCTATGGAAATATGATTGCCTGGGTTTCCCAGTTTCCCACAGAAAGGCATGCCATCCTTTCTGCATATCGTGGCCTTCTAATATTAGTGTTCTTTTGTTAGTTAAATTCACCCATTCCTTTATCCATAGTAGGGTGGCTGCCTTGTAATATACTTCCCAGTTTGGCAGGCCTAACCCTCCTCTGCTTTTCAAATCTTGTAGGGCTTTTACATTAATCCTAGCTTTTTTCCCCTGCCAAATAAATTTCAGTGTTATCTTGTTTAATTCCATAAAAAAAAAATTATTTAATTTGATTGGAATTGTCTGGAATAGATATAGAAATTTTGGCAGAATATTCATCTTAATCAGAGCAATCCTGCCCAATAAGGAAAGTTGTAATGTACTCCAGGAATCTAAATCTTTCTTGGATTGTTGGAGAAGTTTGTCATAGTTGTTTTCTTTTAATGATTTGCTTTGTGGAGTAAGCCAAATTCCTAAGTATTTAATTTTTTTTGTCACCTGTATTCCCATTATTGTCTCTAGTTCTTTATTCTGGTCTCCTGTTAAATTTTTAGACATTAATTTCGTTTTACCCCTATTAATTTTAAATCCTGCGACTTCTCCAAATCGTTCTAGTTCTTCTAATAAGTTATGTCCTTTTTCTATAGGCTCCTCCAGAAAAAAAACCAAATCATCAGCGAAGGCTTGTACTTTGTACTCTTCTGATTTAATCCTCAGTCCTCTAATTCTCGAATTTTGCCTAATATACGTCAAAGGAGATTCTAGGGCGAATATGAAAAGCAGAGGAGAGAGAGGGCAACCCTGTCTAACCCCTTTTTCTATTTTTATCGGGTCAGTTTGTTCCCCATTTATTAGAATATTTGCCTGTTGAGTATGGTAAATTGTAGTGACTACGTTTTCGAATCTAGTGCCAAGGTTCATATTGTATATTTTTTGAATTAAAAAATGCCAATTTAAATTGTCGAATGCTTTTTCAGCGTCCAAAAACATAAAAGCAAATTGTTTTTCCGGATGGGCTTCATAGTATTCTGAAATGTCTATCACTGTTCTTAGATTATTCTTAATTTGTCGAAATGGGAGAAATCCATTTTGATCTTCATGGATATGTGTGTTTAGAACCTGTTTTAGTCTATTAGCTATTATAGAAGAGAATAGTTTGTAATCTGCATTCAGGAGCGAGATTGGTCTATAATTATTAATAAGTCTATGGTCTAGGTCCTCCTTCGGGATCAGCGAAATTAAGGCTCCCCTCCACGAGTCCGGCATCTTGGCTGCTAGGAGTACCTCATTGAATACTTCCAGCATCAGTGGTCCAATTTGTTCTATGATTGTTTTGTAAAGTTCTACAGGTATCCCGTCCGGTCCTGGCACTTTATTGTTACTTTGCTTCTCTATTGCTGACTTCAGTTCGGACCATGTTATATTTTTGTTTAATAATTCTATCTCTTCCTCTCCAATTGCTTTTTCGTTTGCTTCCTCTAGATATTTCATTATTTTGTCCTCACAAACGTCTTCCTTTTTGTATAATTTCCTGAAGTATTTAAAAGTGATCTCTTTTTTCTTCTCTATCTCCTCTTGCAAATTGCCCCTCTCGTCCATTAATTGGTGTATCAATCTTTTTTCTTTCATTTTCTTAAGTTTGTGGGCTAACCATCTCCCTGGCTTGTTTGCGTGCTCAAAATAAATTTGTTTAGTCATTTTCAGACTACTCTCCAATTTTTCTTGTTCCAATAAATTTAGATTGTGTTTAGTTGTTATTAACTGATTCTGTATTCTTTGATTTTTGGGGTTCTTTTGTAGTTGGGTTTCTAAATCCTTAATTTCTTGTTGTAAGTTACTTTGTTGGGCATACTTTCTTTTATTTCTCATAGCATTGTAAGAGATAGTTGTTCCTCTTATAAATGCCTTCATTGTGTCCCATATATTTTGTTTCGAAGTTAGTTCATTATTATTTTCTTTTAAGAAGAAGTTCAGTTCTTCTTTCAATTTATTAGTGTATTCTTCTTCTTTTATTAAGTGAGTGTTAAGAGTCCATCTTCTTTTTGGTTTTCTTCTACCTCTCCAGGTTATTTGAATTGGGTTGTGATCAGCCCAGTCGTTTGGTAAGATTTCGCTATCTTTGATTTCATTAATTAATTCACCATTTATCCAAGCCATATCTATTCTTGTCCAAATTTTGTGTGGGTTAGAGTAAAAGGTAAACTGTTCTTTTTTTGGGTTTAGTTTTCTCCAAATATCTACCAGATTCAGTTCGTACATCATATCCTTACATGGCTTCGAAAATTCTCTTTTTCCTTTTTTATTCTTACTCATGTTACTATGATCCTTCCGGTAGTCAGCAATAGAGTTAAAATCGCCAATCAGAAAAATATTGCCATTTCCGAAATCTATTATTTTTTGGTGAAGATGTTTGAAAAATTTACCTTGATCATCATTTGGGGCATAGATTACTACCAGTAAAAATGTAATGCCATTAATCGAAGTTTGTACCACCAGGGTTCTTCCTTCAGGATCCGCCCAGATTAACTCCGCTTTTAAATCATCGCTCACATATATTGCAATACCTTTCTTTTTGTGCTCATCTGCTGGTGCTGTGAATAATTTCCCCAGTTTCGGACAATCTAGAAATTTCTCCTCACTTTTCCTAATGTGTGTTTCTTGTATGCAAACTATATCAACGTTTTGTTTTATTAGTTTATTTAGAATCCTCTTCCTTTTAGCTCTTGAATTTAGGCCGTTTATGTTGATGGAAAGGATTTTACTTCCTTCCTCCATTTACTTAAGTCTGCCTCGCTTTTTGTCTCGTAATTATACGGCTCTCTTCTTGTAGGAGGTATGGGGATGTTTCTACTCTTTCTTGTTGTAAGTTGTCTTTTCCTTGAGTTTGGACGGGTCTTTCTTCCTTGTTCCTATGGCGGTTCCGATCTTCCTGCATGTTCCCTTGGGTTTCCTCCTTAGTGTGTTGATCCTCCGTGGTTGTTAGCTGTTCTAGAAAGTCTTGTGCTTGTTCTATTGAATCTATTTTAATTTTCCTTCCCTCCCACCATATTAGCATCCTTTCTGGAATTTGCCATTTAAATGAAATTTCTTTTTTATTTAAGTGGTTAGCTAAAAATTTATATTCTTGCCTTAAGGCCCTCACTTTTCTTGGAATCTGCTTGAGAACTATGATCTCTTTGCCCATATATAATACTCTCTCATCTCTGGCCATTCTAAGTATTAGGTCTCTCACGCATCTTCTTGAAAAGCGGATATGGATCTCCCTTGGGCACTTGTGACGCCTTGCGTAACTGGTATTCACCCTATAGACTTCGTCGAATTCTTTGAGTAAGTCATCTTTTTCTTTTCCAACTAGATCAGCCAACAAACCTGCCATTAATTGCGCTAGTTCTTCATTTTTGGATTCCTCCACGTTTTGGAACCTTAGGTATGCCGCTGCTCTGTCCATCTCAAGTTGGACCAAGGAATCTTCCATTTCTCTATTAATACTTTTAAAGCCTTCTTCAGTCCTTTCTAGGTTCCTCTCCGCTCGTTCTGTCCTCCTCTCTATTTCTTTTATTTTTATTTCAGTTCTTTCCATAGCCAATTGCATTGTCCCCACCTTATCTTCGACTTTTTGTATATCTGCTCTCATCTCCTCTTTTAATTTCCCCATTTCTTCCTTCAGTTCGCTAATATCGGCTCTGGTCTCATTGTGATTCCTAATCATAATCTCCTGCATTCTAGACATTGACTCTTGCAGGGATAATAGTGTCGCTTGCAGATTGGCATTAGTGACGGTCGGTTGTTTTTCTCCTGTCAAGGTCTCTTCTATAGTTTTCTGCGTTGTTGGGGAGGCAGTTGCCAAAGTTGTCGTCAAGGTCTGGGTGTTCTTCCTTCCCGTTTTCAGGGCCGTGGTTGTTGTGGAAGTCATCTCTGATAAGATTTGTTTTTGCAATTGGATAATGTTAAGAATATTTTCCCAAATCACCATTCGATGTAATAGCCCTTTAAATGTGATTGCAAGTCTATTTACTAAGCTTACACACCAAGTTATTTTAGATCTCTTTCTTTGACCCAATTTGTCACTTATGCAGTTTAAATTCCAATTCAATAAAGTGTTATCACATACTATAAATAGAATATTATCAAATATTATATATTAAGTATTATATATTGTTCTCTATACTAAGTTCATATACCAAAATTCATTAATTATATTTAACCCCTAATAAATCAATATCATATCAAATCAAACTTATTTACAGCTAACAAACAACTCTAAAATTTCTCACTCTATATATACCTTTGTCCTATAATGTAATTAATATTCAAGGTTCCAGTTAATCTAAGTCAACCCAATTTAACAGACCTTCCAATTTTTGTGTATTCAAAAGACTCTAATCAGTAAACCCTAATAACAATAATAAGCAGTTTGCCTTTACATCTATATTTATAATTGTTATAGAGAGAAAGGAAAGACTAAGAGAGAAAGGGAGAGAGAAAGGGTGCGGGAAGAGAAGGGTCTTTTAGATTTCAGGGAATCACTAGACACGTATCTGTGGGATTAGTTCCATAGAAAAACAAGTCTGAGTTGGGGCTGGTGTTATAGTCTTATAGCCTTTCTTCCTGGCCGCACCGAAGGAGCAGGGGGAGGAAGTGCTGACTAATTGCTGTCAGCACTCAGCACTCAGTCTTTACCAGTCTTTACCAGGATTCCGTCTGTTTCTTCCTTCTTCTTCTTCCCTCTTCTTCCTTTCTGTCAGCAATTGTCAGTCCACAATCACTTTGAGTGTCCGCCTCAAATCGATCCCTTTTAGAAATCAGTTTTGTAGGCAGTGTAGCTATAAGGAAGAGGACCTTACATATAAAAGTCAGTGCGTCACTATCTCGCCCTCTGCAGCTCGCTCTGCCCTCCTTCGCAGCTATAGTTCTCCCCTAGTCTTCTAGTCTTCTCAGGCGCTGATCCCAGATGGCAATCCACTCCCGAGCTTCTTAAAGATCCCACCGCCTTCCTCTCTCCTCGACAATCTTCTTCCAAACGCTCCAATCCACACTTTCATGTTAAGTGTTGAGCCATTCTGTCTGCATTAATCCCCCTTTCACTTTTCGAATCGCTTTTCTAGCCGCTTGTCTCCAGCTTTCCCCCACTGTTACTCACAATGAAAGAGGGAGAGTCAGACCAATCTCACTCACGGCTTTTGTAGTCCTTCTGCCCTTTTCAGCTCGGATCTTTCAGGCTGTCACTTTTCGCTTCATCAATTCAGTGACAGACGGGACTTTGGAGCCGCCATTAGCTGGCGGCTGGCTCAATCGCGCTGGTCTTAGAGGCTCTTCCTTCGTTGCTGGGGAGTTGCCTTCCCCCAAACAGCAACCCGGGGGTCCTCTTTTCTGACACGAAGCTCTACGGGTTTCGTGTATCCACTGGGGATCCCTCCAAACGCGAGAAGAGGTGATCGAAAGCCACAGCTGGGCTTCTCCACCTCTGGACGTCCCTGTCCTGCCACCGGAAGTCCAGTAACTGTGCATTTAATAGCAGTAATTGAATGCCGGATCTTGGAGTCCTAGTGGACAATCACTTACATGTGAGCCAGCAGTGTGTACAGCTGCCAAAAAGTACACAGTCCTGGACTGCATTAACAGAGGGATAAAATCAAGATCTCATGAAGTGTTAGAACCACTTTATAATGCCTTGGTAAGACCACACCTGGGATATTGCACCTAGTTTTGATTGCCACAATATTAAAAAAAAGATGTTGAGACTCTAGAAAGAATGCAGAGAAGAGCAACAAGGTGGTCAGGGGATTGGAGGTTAAAACATAGGAAGAATGTTGCAGGAATTGGGTATGTCTAGTTTAATGAAAAAAAGGGACTTGGGGGACATGATAGCAGTTTTCCAATATCTAAGGGGCTGCCACAAAGAAGAAGGGGCCAACCAATTCTCCAAAACACCTGAAGGCAGGACAAGAAGCAATGAACGGAAAATAACCAAGGAGAGAACTAACCTAGAAATAAGGAGGGGGAAAAAGGAGACATTTCCTGATAGTGAGAACAAATAATAAATGACGCAGCTTGCATTCAAAAGTTGTGGGTGCTCCATCACTGGATGTTTTTCAGAAGAGATTAGTCATTTGTCTGAGTCTCATGTTTGAACAGGAAGTTGGGCTAGAAGATCTCCAAAGTCCCTTCCAACTCTGTTATTCTACTCAGACTATTTGGTAAATTCACATCTAAAAGAATTTAAAGTAGAGATTTCTGGATTTCTACCTAATAGGCAGGAAAGATGGGCTACAGACTCCATCAATCAAAATATTTCAACTGGTGGGATTTAAGAAGAGGGTCTTCTCTGCTATTGACCCTGCTTTATAGAACATCTTGCCTTCAGAGGTGAGAAAAGCCCACAATCTTCTGGCCAGTCAAAACCTGGCTATGCAACCTTGCATGAGGGACACAGAGGCCCACACAACCATGGGGCTGGCTGACTTCATGAAAAACACCCACCAGCACCACCTTTTAACAACTGTTAATTCCCCATCTTCGAATTCTTCACCTTCTGAAATTTTTATAATGCTGTTTTTATAATTTTAAAACTTTTAATTTTAAATTATCCTGATTTTAACATTTCATGTTATTGATAATACTGCCTAGTTAAAATATGAACTATCAATAAAAATAAATTAATACATTTAACAATTTGCCAGTGAAAACGGAGCTTGGGAGGGCTGCATGCCCCCAACACAAGTGATATCAAGGTGACCACATCCCCTGGCCATACCCCCCTGGCCCCCCAAGGTCAAACACAACCCTGATGTGGCCTTCAATGAAATTGAGTTTGACACCCAGGGGGTGTCAAGGGGAGGCTGTTCTATAAGGCATGTACTATGACAGAAAAGTCAGGCTTCCAAGGGCTCACTAGGCAACACTGCATCTCCGGGAGATTTGGAGCATACCCACATTGTCAAATCTAGAAAGGTGGGCAGAAACCATAGGAGACCGATGGTTGTACAAATAAATTCTGAAAGATCACCATAATCTGAACATGATCTTTGATATATCATTAATCATGTTAAATGGCTTCTCTTGAATAATGTTCAGAAGGCATAACTAAAACATGGTGGCCAGCTCTGTGCATTTAAAATGGTTGTTTTGCTGAGATTTAAATGTTTTTCTTTGGCTAGTTTCAAGGAAGAGTCGATTTCTCTTTTTGCTTTTGAAATGTATTGATTTTACTACATTGTTGCATTTATGTTTTTAAGTTGTGTTTTGAGGATCCTAGTGAGCAGATGGTGATAGCAAAACTTTCAACAATTCCCTTTCAGATCCAATGCCACAGTAATAAGAGTCATCATAATGGAATACTTCATAAAACTGTTGTAAAAAAAAGAATGACATAAGCAATATCGTAATAAGAACTCCTATTAGAAGCTATATAACAAAATGTATAATTGCATTCAGCTCAATTTTATTCCCAAAATACCATAGCAACAATTGTAATAGTGCAACTCTATCATCCCTTCAAGGTGAATCCAAATAAAAAAGAAGTCTTTACCTGTTCTTGGGTGATTTGTCTTACTGCTCCTGGGTAGGCTCTCTCCTGTAATTCCACCATCAAGTTTTATTGGAGTTTTTCTTCTCCCTTTAATATGCTTCATTTTCTTATCCACTGAACTATTTACTATCACTTGCATACCATTGTCTTTTAATGCTACCGAATCCATTTTAAGGCCTTGGTTAATAATGTTGGTGGCTACAATATGAACTTCAGGGACCTCTCTTGAATCTTTTAAATTGTAAATGTCAATCTGAGTTTCACTTGAATTGTCGGGAGAATGAAATCTTACAGTAATATTACTTGTTCTTAATGATCTGCCACCATTATTACCAGCCGTTTTGTCCCGTTTGAAGTCAGGAAGCAAAGCCCCTTCCTTGCCATCCTCTTCAGATCCTCCACCCTTCACTTTCTTATGTCTCACTGGAGTATCCATAAGAATATTTGGGGAAATCTTGTAAGCCTTGTTACCCATCAGTGCTGAATTGCTATTGGGGAAGAGTCTTTCTTGTGCTGTTAGACTACTAGGACTTGCCTTCTCTTTTACAGAGGATCCTGAAAAAATATAGTTGCATATGTTAAAAATTCCAGCAGAATACTCTCCGCTAATCATGCAGTTTACAAATATAATTCATGAAACATTACTGATATTGTGATTCTTGGGTATTTTGCATGGAAAACATATGAGAGGGACAGGTTTCCAGTAACTGGGTTTTAGATTAAGGTGTCCCAGAGTGAAAACACAATTGTAGTGTTACTGAGACTAAATGGCCTTTTCCACAGAAAGATCACAAATGCCCACAACAATGACTACCTGCCTTTTACCAAATTCAAGTTTTCAGTGAATGTTTTGCTTTGTTTTTCTGTGATTTCATGTTCATGTATCAAATTCTTTTGGTGCAGAACTTGGATTTGTTGATCTGCAAATGAAATAATCAGTAAGAATACATATAAGTGAAGACATACAAATTAAAGCATAACAGTAATTCAAAGTGTTATGATTTGATAACTATTCTAGTCAAGGATATTTGCATTGGCTAGAAAATATTTACTTTAAATCTGTTGTTAAATATGTCTTTAAGAAAATTATTATCTTGAATACCCTTTTCATCAGTTTTCTAATAAGGACATACTCAATAATTTGCACATGAGATATTGAATATAATACATGTGAAGTCTTCCAGGATGCTATAAGAATACTAAAAATAAGTGTTACCAACTTCTGGTTTGTAAGAAGTAAAGCAAAATAACAAACTGCAAATTATAAAACTCAAGGAAGTATTCTTACAAAATGTTTTTTCAATATACAGGGCATGCCCTGCCTGGAGAATTTATAATTATAGTTGAACTCATAAATATATTTATTTGTACTGAGTCTTATTGAATTATTAAAACCATACCATTTGTTCAAGATTGCATCCATAAGTGGCAGTTATTTCATGTAATACCACATCAATGCAAAATGATAGGTTTCCATTCCTAGCTGTAGTGTTTAAGGTGTATAATTAAACCTCCAAACACTCAACAATAATTGTTGATAGAGGCTTGCATTTTTGTAGCTGGCATGAAAACTTTCAAACAATTTAATATATTTAAAAATAATAATATTAAACAAGTTGTGCAGTTGGGGGAGAAGCGATCTGAGAGTTAATTTTCACAAAAACAAAAAACTTAGTGGTGTCACAGAACTGAAAAGAACTTTGGTGTAGATTAGAGGTGTCAAACTAGATTTCTTCAAGGGCCAGATCAGCATTGTAATTCTCCTCCATGGGCCGGCCAGGAGGGATTAGACAAGATGGATGCCTCCTGCAGCACTTTGCCAGCCAAAACAGGGCACGGGGGGGGGGGTTGTGCATGGCCCCCTGTACCCGTTTTTGGCCTGGATGGCTTCCTGCAGCACCCTGCCAGCCCAAATGGGGCACAGCGGGCCGTGCGTGGCCCCCCCTGCATCCCCCATTTTTGGCCTGGATGGCTTCCTGTGGCACTTTGCCAGCCAAAACGATATGTGTGGGCTCTACACACCCTGTTTTCGCTAGCAGAGGCACTGCGGGCCGGTCCTTTGCTATTTTCAGGCCATCCCCATGGGCCAGATGTAAGCACCCCGTGGGTCAGATCCGGCCTACGGGCCTTGAGTTGAACACCTCTGGTGTAGATCCTGCCTGAAAGATACCCATGGTGATTATAACTATTGCCTTTGATGGATCCATTCACCATGAATGTAAATCATTCCCTTTGGAAGCCATCAAACCAGTGGTTATTTATTTATTTAGTATATGGCATCTATAGAGGCCATGCAATCACTTATATACAACACTGATAAAACACATTATAAGTACAAACACAAATATAAGTTCAAAGCATCAACAATTACGTGTATATAAAGTATGTGCACAATACAATAGATGAGATAAATTATTAAATTAGAGTAAAACCAGAGGCAGTATTCAGCAGGTTCTGACCAGTTCTGGAGACCTGGTAATAGAAATTTTGAGTAGTTCAGAGAGCCTGCAAATACCACCTCTGACTGGAGATTTTACAGTATCCTTCCCCTGCCACGCCCACCAAGCCACGCCCACAGAACTGCTGGTAAAAAAAATTGAATCCCACTACTGGATAAAACCCTGAGAAAATTGCTATAATATGGTATCATAGTTGCAATAGGATAGATGTTATAATTTGATATCTAAGGAAGCTAATCATCTAACTGCTTCTGGTGTGGCTGCGATGAGGTCATCCCAGGTGCCTTGACATTTCCTGAGGAGACATTTTTGAATTATAGCTGCTATTGTTTGTTCTGATGCACCACAGATGCATTGCGAGGTCTCTGCCATTCCCCAAAGAGTTTTGCCTTAGTTCTGGCGTGGCCTGTAGGGTATGAAGTGTAAACTATCTCCACAATGGTATGCTTCAGGCAATGTTCTGTATTACCAGACCACATGATGGCCAACTGGATATTGTATTTCTCATGGTCAAAAACTACAGAGGCAGCAGGACTCCTCCCAAGATGGCTGCTGCACGGTAAGAGCTTTTCTTCTCTCTTGCTGACAATCTGTTGATTTAGCTGGTTCTCTGGCAATGCTGCTCCCTGGATTTGAATGGGAGCACTTAGGAATGACCCAAGATAACTTTTGGACATCCATGGACTCAACTGGGAAGGGGATTCTTGAAGATTCCAGTTTCCTGTGGGAGGGGTGGGAAAGCCATTGGGCAAATATATCTTCCTTTGAGCAATTTATTTTTGAAATGAGCTTGGGTATTAACTTTCACTTTTTGAATGTATTGTTTTACTTTGGTTTTTGCTTTTAAAAGCTGATCAACTGGTTGAATGCTGATTTATTTTAACCTCCTAACTGTTTTTTCTTCTTTTTGATTGATGTTGCTGTTTTGAATAGCTTTTGCTTTCCTCGTAAGAAAGCATAGTATGTTTTGGGATGGTGAAGTTCTTACATTTGATTTACACTAATATTGAATTCTCACCACAGGGTTACTGCATTTTTGTATTTGCAAAATATTTGGAGTTTATCTCTTTTGAATTTTTCTTTCAGTCTTGGATTGAAATATCCAGAAAATTATTCTAAATAATTAGAAATATATATGTTTTGTGTTTATTGGTTTTGTCTTTCTCATTGGTTTCATTTTTAATGAAATGTGTTGTATTATGTATTGTATGTATGTATATGTATATGTATATGTATCTTTAATAAAGTTTATTTTTAAAATTTGAAAAAAAGAAATATCCAGAAAATATATTTCTGTTTCCTTCATCTTCAGTGTTCTGTTCCCAGATCAAACTACACAGAGCAATAATGTATCACAATTACAGACAAGCAAGGTGGCTGAAAAGACTCTCTGGTAAAGTGTAACTTTAAGCTGAAAGTTTTTTTTAAAGTTCGATGAGATGATAATGGAAAATATGCAGAAGCATGCAGCTTTGAATAAATTAAATTCACAAAAGGACTCTAATATGAAAGTTGCGTACCAGAGATATACGGACTTCACAAACGGAGAAGTAACTTAGAATTAGAAGCTTGCCTGAAGAGAAAAATGACAAATTTTATTTCCTAGGATGACTGTGGGAGATTGGAGAATGGATTTATTACCCTTAATTTGAAACCACTTCCATTTGGACTTTGTTGGGAAGATAGACCTACTATAGAGACTGCATTTATTATATTTAATTAGACAACAATTGAAGAAGTAAAAATGGATGTTTGATCCAGGATGAATTACTCTTAATTCGGGGGATGATTTGGGATAGATAAAATCTGTGGCAAATTTTCTATGAGAGGATGACAATAACAGTTTGTTTATTATTATTATTATTATTATTATTATTATTATTATTATTATTATTATTATTATTATTATTAACTATTAATTATTTTGTCATTACTGTTGTATATAGATGACAGGTCCATAATTTGCAAATGGATTTGCTAGTTCAAAAATTTGGGGAGGGGCTGTTTTACAAGGAGTGGGAACTTATGTTGTAGTAATGTATTAATCAGTATTCAATTAGGGAGATAATGTGTGTATATGTTGGGGTGTTAATTCATTTTTTAATGTCTTAATTTTTTGTATGTTTTTTAAAAACATTTTGGAATTTTGTACTTTTCTTTGAATAAATAAAAAATAAATGGGAAAAAAACTGAATATGCAGGAGGATTTTCTCCAGAAATCTTCTGTTTAATAAAAGGAGAGAAATAGGAAAATAACAACTAAGGCAGCAATAAGATTACAACAGTTAAGTAGTTGATGTTGTCAGACAAAATATGAAAGCTATCCCAAATCCATAATAAATAAATATAAATGAATAAAATATTAACACACAATTAATTATTTTTAATTATTTTGAAGGGAAGAGAGTTCAGGTTATGAGTTATATTTTAAATACACATACAAACTAAACATTCCACACACTTTTGTATTGTAATATGTCATGTTATTATGCTTCCAGATAATGGCTGCTTACCAAGGAATTTAATAATTTCTTTAAGATTATTTTTTGAATCTGCTGAAGCATGATCATCTGCAATAAATAAACAATAAGTTCATGTTTAATTATTTTACATCAGTTTAATCAATAATACTAAAACATTCTGAAAACTCTGGGGATGTTATATCAAAATATGTACTCAATGAACTTGGCAGAAGATAGAATCAAATTTTCTGATTAGAGAGAAACATGATACATTAAGAAAAAGTGCGCCATATTCTTTCTAAGGTCCTCTTTTTCATAGTTTATTCAACCTGTAATTCAAGCCATTTTTAACTATGGCATTGCAAATTGTATGATAGTGATTAGACTCATGATATTTATTCAATCTACAAATTCTGACCTGGTGCAGTCTCCTAGCCTTCGGAAATGGTAGAACACTGAAATCAAAGTCCACACTTGGGGTAGAGTGGGGAAGGAATAAAATAATAAAAGTGGGTGACTTTTTAATTCACAGTTTATATCTGCCAAAAAAAAAACCACCCCAGATTGAGTGCAAGGAAATATTTTCTTGTGTAAACTGTTTTGAAGCAAATGGGTATTATTTTGATTAGACTAATGAACAGTAAATTAAGCTGGGCAACATGCAAAGACAAGGTGAGGAAAATCTCAAGAATTCAAATTGGACAACTAGAAAACAAACCTGAATTTGTGTGTTATTCCACAAAGAGGTTCCATTAACCTCTAATGGGAAAAAAACGGAGAATTTTCAGTGTTAAGAGCTTTTCTGAAATGGAGCCATTACTGGAAGAGTTGGGAAATAACTCAAGAGAAGAAGAAAAAAGAACTACTAAAAATAAGATGTTACTTCATCTCTAATTGAAATATTAGAAGCACTCATGACGTGGATACCTGGTTCCCATAAAACTCCAATAGATCCCTGATTTCAGTTTTTGTTTATACTGTAGAATGTAGAAAATGGCTACTAAATAAACATACAAAAATGCACTTTGAAAATAAATCTTGTAGATGGCTAAGAGACTCATTTTCACCTCTTACTTGTTCCCTAAAAACAAAAACCAGGCCAACCAGGGATATAAGATGCCTTAAAATTGAGCCAAACCAAAAGCATCCATTTTGTTCCTTGAGCCCATCCCACAAAAAAGGTCTTAAATATATGGCCTTGTCACCAGGCCTGCATGGCTTACAACAATAAAACGGAAAAAAAATATTTAAAATGTAAATAAATAAAGCAATGAGAACAATAGAAATAAACAATAAAAATGTGATAATATGAATTAAAATATTTAAAAAATTAAAATAAGCACCAACCTATGCTAATAATGCCATGATGTCCAACCATGGTACTACAGTGCTTCCTTGAAAATAAGACCCGGGCTTATTTTAGGGGAAATACGATTTCAGGATGATCAGCCCGGCTGGGCGCCCTGCCCCCCAGCACACACACAAGAGATGGCTAGTGCAGGGGGACTGATGCAATCTGGCAGCAGCTGCAGCATGCTTGTCCCTTGGTCAGTGGACTCTGGGGCTGCACAAAGCAGAAGGCACGGAGCGGAAGGCAGGCGATCTTGACATGCCATGTAGGCTGCAGTTAAGCCGAGAGACATGAAGATGAGTCTACTGTGGCTGCCTGCCACTCCAGCCCACCACTACTTGGCTTTCCCATGACCCATGTGCCTCCCTTGCCTCTGCTTCTGCCTGCTGCTTGTACAGGTACTCAACGTACCTGTGTTGCATGGGCTGCAGCTACTGCCAGACACCGTCGGCCCACATGCACTCACCACCTCCTGTGCTGTCCATGCCCCCTTCACTAAGGCTTATTTTGGGGGGTAGGGCTTATATTAGGTGCATATGTAAAAAACCAGGCTAAGGTTTGTTTTTGAGGTAGGTCATATTTTCAGGGAAACAGGGTATCTATGGCAGTTGGAAAAATTAGTATGGCTCCCAGTCTTAGCTTCTTGGTGCAAAGTGGCACAAACTTTTAAAAAAAATGAAATAAGAGAATATACTAAAATACAATGCCTCTGTAATACCACATTTGATTCTTTTAAGAACTAATATTTGTTCCCAACCTACTTCTACTTGGAGATAGAAGAACAATAAATCACTAGTCATTTAGACTGGCTATGGTCTACAGAACTATTCACTCTGGCATGACCATCCATCATCAGAGCGATTCTGAAAGCCACAACATATTCAAAAAGTATATGCATGAATCCAAAGTTCCAACTCTAAAGCAATGACAAAGCTGATTTTCAAATGGTCTTAATGACAGACAATCTGCATACCAATTGACTCATTTGCGCACATGATAGCTTAGAACAATACAAGAAAAATATGTAAAAAGGTCTGTAATGGTGCATGACAATTGCTTCCAAGTATGCTGACCTTTGGTAAATGAAACAAACAAAAAATACAGTACTTTTTTGAGGAAACATTAATGGGTGATTAAGAATGAGTACAGCTGCATCATCTGAACACTTGGTTAAAAATATTCTTTTTGTATTCAGTGCCATAATTATGATTGAAAACAATGTGGGAGGAAGCAAGTACGCTTATGCGGTAAATACTTAAGTTTTTTAAAACAACTATATGGTTTTTAACAACACTGTCAAATGTCAGCTTGGTCATTACTCTTCCAGCTTCTATTATTTATTCAATGATATTAATATTATTATGCCATATATAGTTACTAAAGTAGTATTGCACATTTAATCAAATTGCTAGTGATTGCAGCATAGACAAGTTTATAAAGTATCCACCAAATAAATGCAAATAAAATAACTGAAGTAGACTTTTTGCCTATTGATCAGAAATTGTATAACAATAAAATAAACATATCCCTACTTCTAAAATTGGAATGTAAAAGCTATATGCTTGTATTTTAAAGTAGTAAATATCACACTATATTTTGATGTTTTTGGTAATAATGGCAAGGGAAGAGATGATGCTAAAATCTTGTTTCTCAAAATGGGAAATGAACCCTAGGAACTGTTGGCCATTATTGACTCCAATTACTTAAATTAAATTAAGATTAAGACTATAGCAACTGTAGCAGCTCTCCTCAGATACCACCAGTGAATGGGAGTATTATGCTTCATGTATTACCGCAGCATAGGTCCTTGTCCTGTCGCACTCACAAACGCACACACCACATGGTTTTAAGTCTTTATTGAGGCTTCGCCAGCCCTGAATAGTATTTCCCAAAATTCATCCCAAGCAGGAATCAGCATAAAATGAAATGAGTCCAATTCCCAAGTCCAGAAACATAGAAGTCCGTAGGTTACCCACCAATTTTGAAATCAAAGGACAAATCCATGGTCTGAACATGAAGCACCAAAACCAAAATCCAAGTCCAAGATTCAAGAGGCAAAGTTCAAAATCCAAAGAGCAAAGTCCAACTCCAGGAACAGAGTCAAGGTTTCAACCCACAGCAATAATCATGATGGCATGACAAGAATCACAATGGTTGAGCAAACACGCCACATGAAATGGATGAGTTGTTTCCAGTGTCGCTTTGCTCTGCCTGTTGAATTAAATAGCCGCCAACTGGTACAACTCATTAGGCGGGGCGAGGCTATCTCCTCACCAACCTTCATTGTACCCCCCTCCTCTCAGCCCTGCGAGGCTTGGGATCAACTTGGCAACTTGAAGTCATGTGGACTTCAACTCCCAGAATTCCCCAGGCAGCACATTGACCAGGGAATTCTGGGAGTTGAAATAAACACATCTGCAAGTTGCCAAGCTTGAGAAATACTAGTTTATGTGCTTCACGGGCACAGAAACAGCTGAGGTTTCCAGCACTACCTTTCATTATTTCTCACTTTCCAGGTCTCCCTTTTGTTCTCTGCTTTCTTGGATCCCTAAGTTTCCATTAAATCAAAGAGAGGGCTCTTGGAGAAAACTACACTAAACTGCTATCCACAAATTATTGAGCTGGCACATAAGTGTACTGGCATGAGTTGTTCTGTTTGCATTGCTGATCCCTGATCTGCAAACATAAGGGACTGGTGAAGGACGCTGTCTTACATTCTTACTGCAAGCCCTTTCCTGGCAGGAAAACAGCAACAATCATTCTCCTTAATGGGACAGTATTGGGCCTATGTAGATGGGTGCTTAGAAAAACAGGGTTAACCACTTCTTAACACACAACTGTAATCTGTCAGTAGAGCTTTTTCTGGACTCAGATCTAGAGTTTTTTTCTGACAGAACACTAAACCTGTGTTCATAAATAGCCAAGGGAATATGCAGTAGGCATGGAGATGTGCAGTGTAAAACAAGAGACAATGATAATGAGGAAAGTCCACCTTTGACTAGTACTCCAAAGCTATGGCAGTGTTGGCAGCAAATGGGCAGACTATCAAGTTCTGACCACATGGCTAACAGCATCTACTGCCACCCAAGCCAGAATGAAGTAAGCAAGACGGCACAGTCCTCCCATCAAAGTGATGATAAAAGAAAATGAAACCCTTTGTCCAGAGAGGCAGCAGAAAACCTGTGAGCTCATCAGATAACAGAATTAGCAACAGATTGCTGACAAAACTGAGCCTCCTTCCTCAATTTAAATTAATCTTCTCTGCTGCATAGCACTTGTCCCTTTTTCCTCCTTTTTAAACATAGGTTTAATGCTTTTTCAAAACACCACTAAATAGCACTAAACCTATACTTATAAGGAACCTGCTTAAATCCTTACAAGTGCTACAGAAAGTACCAATCAGGCATTATGCCAGCAAATGCCTCTGAGGAAGCCAGATACCCTGCAACCATGTTCCATGGCCAAGTCGAAATGGTAACAGAGGGTGGGATTTAGTTTCAGTAACTAGAAGAAAGCAGGCATACTGGCAGCAGCCTAAAGTGGCCAATAGAAGCCACATGGGCAGGTCCTAAACCCTTGACTGTCTAGCCATCAAATGGCTGGGGGGAAATAGCAGTTCATATTCTAGAACTCAAAGAATATTGGGAGAAAAGCAAACATTCCATTTTAAGTCAGGGTGGTTTTAAGCTGCTTCAGGTGGAGATAAGATGAGGGCGCCATCATGAGACAATGTCCAAGGGTAAGAAGGAGGGAGGCAATTACCAGGAAACTTTGCTACCATGATTGGAGACTTCAGGAAGAATCAGTCTACAAGCAATCACTTGTAGATTCTTTTTCAACCTATTGCCTGGGGCAAAAACCAGAACACCGTTAAATGTTTCTGGTTCTGATGGATCAAACTATGTGACTAGCGTATGCCCAATTCAGCTTGATAAGACACAAATGGTGTACTAAGAAAATAATATTGAGTCTCTTGCTCCAGAGAACCTGGCTCACAGGATGCCAAAAAGCATAAGTCGGATTTTTCAGGTCTTTGACCACAATTGCATCTAATGTACCGTAAAGTGACAGTATACATGATCTAAAGAGTGTGGATGAGTTTAAACCAGCTGGCTGGAGAATTCTGGGAGTTGAAGTCCACAGGTCTTAAAGTTGTCAAGTTTGGGGACCCCTGGTTTAAACAGTCAGGAAGACCAAGTCTCTGGCTCTGCACACCTGGGTTCAGGTTCTCTTCCGTGCTTGGCTTCCGTGTACAAGCCTGAGAAAATAATTTATTGTCTGCTTGTCAAATCAGACAGCGAACGGAAACCCCACCATTTCATCGTGAAGAGCACCGATAAGGTGATACGAAGCACTATGGAGAGTTGTTACCGAAATAGCAATTCGTCAGAGCCGACGAGGTCCCCACATCCGCAGTCCCACCCTACCTGAGCCCGACCCACGCTACCTGGGTCACGTTCCCCCAGTCGAAGCCCCGGCTGACTTTCTCGGCTGGGCAGAAAAGCGAGGATGAGGAGAAGATAGGCGGACGCTGTACCGGTGCCAGAGCGCGCCATGGTCTCCAGCCGACCACCTGCTGTAGGAGCCTCGAAAGTCTCCGAACATCCCTTCCCCTTTTCTTCGGGGTTCGGTCGCTAAGACGCGGGCGAAGGCGGCAGAACCCTCGCTTGCTCTGTGACCTCATTCCCACGTGTTCGTAGGCCGCTCGGTCGCGCTCTCCTGCCCGGGTGGAAGCGCAAGGCTGAGGGCGCCCTCAGTCTGAAGCCTTTATAGGGCTGGCGGGAGCCAGGCGGCCCGAGTGGGAGCCAAGAAAAGGCGAGGTTTTGCTCCCTTCTTCGTCTGCTCAGCTCGAAGGTGATCCTGGAAGAAGCTGGAAAGCGGCGGGTCCCCGTCCCCCCCTTAGAGAAACGCGTTTTTCGGGATAGCAGGAAGAGCTTCTAAAACACACCCAGAGTAGAAACGACACTCCGGGGGAAAAAAGTCTCAGTCATCCAGGTCATGGTTGTCCCAAAGGGGTTTTTTCAGGAGGCAACTGGACTTTGTTTTTTTCTTTGAAGACATTTCACTTCTCATCCAAGAGGCGTCGTCAGCTCTGACAGGATAGTGGGGATATGGAAGGATCTGCAAGGAATATAAATCCTTCCATTCCCCACTATCCTGTCAGAGTTGAAGAAGCTTCTTGGATGAGAAGTTAAACGTCTTCAAAAAAAAAAAAAAACCCAAGAAAGTCCAGTTGCCTCCTGAAAAAGCAGTTTTAGGACTCTCCAGCGGTTATTAATTATTTCTGACTTCAGCAAGACCCAGAATTGCTGCAGTTGAATGCTGTTTGCTCGCTATAAGATTGAACAAAACTTTTTGGAAAGATTGGAAAATTCGAAATACTCCTGAAAAGCACAAGAATTTCACAAGAAGAGTTCTCCACTCCTCTACTCGCTGTAGAATACCT